GGTCGATTGTTGTAGTGAATTTTGTATGTAAAATTCGTCAGGCATGCATTAGTTCGATGGTTGCAGGAGTTTGATGAGTCACTGGAAAGTATTTTGGCTTTAGATTGGTCAGTCGATTGTCTTTTGTCGATTTGGTTCTGCTCATTCGATTGAGCCACCGCACTACACATTCAAATCGACCTCACAATACTAGAAGTAATGCTAGTTTACCTCACCTACTAACGTGGACGCACTTAGACGTTGACTCGCGAATGCACAGACAGCCAAGACGTGGGGTACTTTCAAAAGAGGTTTGGAAGCTTCGTGTGGAACTGCTTGCACCAGATTAACGAAAAATACCATAGATCATAAATTATTGTTTGCTAATGCAATACTATATCGATAAAATGTCACCTTTGACATGTCGATCTTTCGGCGAGCTGTGGGTCCTGACTCCGCGGCACCACACCAGTGCCTTCAACAACTTCCTCGTCGATGCCCGCACGCGGAGTTACTCGTGGCGTCAAACCATTCATCAATGACCAGACGTTGACGTCGAGTGGACTGCGCGAGCTTGACGCAGTCGTTGGCGGTGGCTACCTCCTCGGGTCCGTCGTTGTAGTGGAATCGTCGGTGTTTGGCTCGTTCGGGTCTGAACTCGCCAGATATTTCGCCGCCGAAGGGTTGGCCAACGAGCACGTCGTTTACACGGACGCGTCCGTCGTCGCCAGCCTGCCTCTAGAACTCAGCACCGCTCAAAAGCAGTTGGAAGGCCGCGTTGGTGTACTATTTTTTTTCTATTAATAGTAACAACGAAGACACTGTTGACCATAATTAGAACGGATTGAGAATTAGTGTGGTCTTGACTAAAGGGTAATCGCCAACATCTGAGCAAAACTTCGACAACAAGTGAAAACTTCGGCAATATTTTAGTACTAGGCGTACTTAACAAGGACAAAATTGATGATGGTATTTATTGTAACGTCCTTAACATTATTACTTCGAAGTAATACAAACTAGTACAAGACGGATTGAGAATTAGTGTGATCCTCACTAAAACATGTACGATGAAATTCCAGAAATTTGTGGTTGGTAATTAGTACAGACCAATTTCGTGCAATATTAGGTGTTTGGGGTGTATGCCACGATGTCCATTTGCTCTGGTAGTCATAGAAAGCCATCAAATGTGGTGTAATAACCCTTGTACTATCAGGGTGGCTTTTTAGTGACATGCCTTTGGCACTTTTTGGCCTTCGCGAATTTTTCGCTAAGCCCTTTTTGCCTTTGGCATTGCCTCACTTTGAGAACTTCGTCTCGAAGGCCTTCAGCAGTTCGTTGCCCAGTGGGGTGGCTGTCAAGAAGGGGCACTTTGGCCGTTCTTGCTTTGGCCTTTTTCGCTGAGGTTCGGTCACTTACGGATAATATCCGGTCATCCGGAATTATCCGGTGTTCTTTCTCTGTAGAAACCGGACTGTTTCTGCCCAATCATAGGTCAGCTAAGCAGTCCGTTAATGTTCATCTTTGGTTTTGCCCTAAACCACATAAGTGTGTCGTCCCTTCTCAGTGCTACCCCCTGCATCGTTCCTCTTGACACACTGTACAGTACCAACGATTGACCAACGCATCCTTGTGCTATGTATACGTATACAGAATTGAAGGTACCCCGTAACGTCACCCGGGTACAAATACTGTACCGCTCTGATCCACAATGATGTTTTACTAGTACTACTATAGTAAAAGTAACGTTACAGTAGTACTATTAATATTAATACTACGTAGTAGTATTCACTGTCAACGTCATAACGTGTCAATGGGTTGGTTGGTGTACACTGTACTCGCACTATTACAAGAGAACAACAATCGTGCGACGTTTGGTCGACACCTTCCGGATATGCAAAATACTTCGGATAACGTTATACCAAGAGTTGAATGTCGAACAATAATACTGGAACACCACATTTATAGAGTAGTACTCAAGTACACTAAGCTTAGTACTACTAGTAGTAATCCGTAGTACATACTAGTACAGTGATCCCCCGATTTTTGCAGCCTGGTCGGAATAAAATAAGATAGAGGTATCAGCGCCAAGGGTTATGCATATTAGGAGGTTTTCCTACCCGTTCCTCGGCTAAATACCTGACTGAATAAGGCAATTTAGGTTATTTGGCCATGCTATGTTAGAGCCTGTTAGTTTTCAGAGGAGCATTAAACCTCCACGTTCTGTTATACCCGGTATATATTGATATAAACAAGTACTTTAGGGTAAACAGATTGCACTTTCATTATTAACTCAAAAGTACAGGTTTGTACATCGAATGACATAGGATCGCAAATACGCAACTTAGGGAGAGAATGTTGTACCCAAGCCGCCAACTCAGTGTCAAGCTCAGTTAGCTTTGGTCCCTTGATGTTGCAGCGTGACGCAGTGACGTCTGCATCAATGTTTGCTGCTTAGCTGGTGCGTGCGATCTATAAATAGTACCAGTACTGTATTAATAGTACAACTGGTATTAATACTAGAGTGATTTTTCTACGTGATATTTCCTGAAAAGTTTCACGATGAAACCTTTTGATCTGATTATATTGGGAATTTCTTGATGAATATATTCTGTCAGAATTTCTGACTGGGAATACCTTTTCACACACAGTAGCCAATCAAAACACTTGAACATGCTAAATTACCAATTTCGCTTCATGGATGAATGGCATGGTCGGCACCAATCGTAGATGAGCGGTAGGTAGGACGCACTAGTAGATGAGCGAGGATATCGTAGGCGAGCAGTGGTATAGTGCCGAACGTAAACCAGCCAACAGATGCATCCTATCCCCCAGTGTTCATCGACCACCTCAAAGCGGTCATGTTTGAACGTCGGCGCTATGCACACTACAGCATATAGGGATGGTGCAAGGTCACAAACTGTACACATTGCACCTAATGCACTGGGTTGTTGATATGCCTAAAGATTGGGAGCCGTGCCCTACCGATAGGTGCTCCAGAAAAGCCGCAACAACGCACACAGCGGCAGTTCTGCTTGAACTTGAATTTTTCCTATAGCAAAAGTACCTTCCCAACATGATATTCCCCGAAGGATTTTCAGGGAAATTGTATTGGAAAATTCGTGTGGATTCTTGGTGCAAAATCACTCTACTATTTATAGTACAAAACACTGGTCAGCGTAATCAATCGAAAGATACTTAACACGGGTTGTGTCTCATTGTGTGTACCGTTACTACACCATTTTGCGGACATGGTGTCCAACGCGCAGACAAGTGGCAAGCGCCACCCAGGGCGTAGATATACTCTGCTTATATCGTAGTTTTTTGGGGAAATTAATCGCCTGAGGGTGAAATATATTGACGAAAACTGAAATTAAACGATAGTTGGTTCAATTATACTGATCAATCAGGCCAGGTGTGAGTGGCTCTGATTTGTCCATTGCATGATACTAGTAGGATGGCATCCTAGAATCGATTTTTTATACTACCTAGTAGTGATGAATATTACGGACCCTTATAGTACATGCAAAGCTACTGGTGTCGTGGAAAAACCTATCCAGAGTGGAAGGAAGATCTTGGCCGAGGAACGCAGCGAAGTCGATGGATGTGAGAGGGGTAAGGGGAGGTCCTGAAAGAGAGGAGAAATCCTTCGCTTCGTCTGGCGCCCGTTTGGAGGGTAAGTTTGCGGCTTGATTGTCCTCGCGGATTCGATGGATCCATGTGCAATGAAACCCGACGACAAGGGAGCGCGCGCGACGGTAGACGTCCCGAAGGCCGACGTGGCACACGCGGTAGAGCCCACGCATTTGGCGGATAACAAGCTTTCTGTCGCCATAGATGGTCAGGTGCGAGAGTCCCATGGTCTTAACCAGTTGGAGGCCGCGAATCAAATCGTCGTATTCAGTGATGTTGGTGGTGGTGGACGTGGAAACATGGTGCGCAGTGTATTTGCCTAGGGAGGGGTCGTCGCGGTGCATAGCAATGGCGCCAACTCCCCCGCAGGCCATCCATGCGAGCTGCTCTATCAAAGAAGACGACGCCGTCCTTGCGCATTGGGGTCTGTCCGTGCTGTGGATGTGGTGGGCGGACTAAGGTAAGAGTGCATCGCTAGACGAGAGCCACGGAGGTGTCGGCGCGCAAACGTGGTTTCTGCGTCGGGCATAGTAGGACGCCAAAGCGTGGAAATGTGCCTGAAAGAGCAAGGAGGAGGAAGATGTTGGGGCAGCAGTCGGTAGTTCTCGTTCAGTGCGGCACAATGGTATTCCATAGCGTACGGAGCGCTAGAGCCCGTATCAGTTGCCAGGCCTGGAGGTAAGGTGGTCGATGGAAGTACCATGTGATTTCCAGTTGGGTGAAGCGAGAGTCCAGGGGGTGACGGGGGGTTGTGCACTGTGGAAAAGGCAGTCTGTGTGATCGGACGGGTGATGATGGATGGGCGCATCGAACCAGATGTGGAGGACCGCGGTCCTCAGGAGTTGGGATCATGGGCAGAGCGAGAATGTGTGCGCGGGGCCGTTAGGCTCGTGGTAAAAGGAGCAGTGAGAGGGGTCTGCTGAAGTGCGGAATGGAAAGGCCTGGTGGAACCAGCGGTACATGAACCACTGAAGTGACCCTGGTAGGGTCGGAGGGCTCCATTCTTGTTACCATGTAGTCGGGTCGAAGGGAGTCCCCAGGGTGGTGCAAAGGCGGTCCCGGCGGTGAGAGAACTTGTCGAGTGGAGGCTTGCTCGGGCATAGAACGGCGAGGACAGCCGTGCTGAGCCGTTTGACGGGAGGCAGTGGGCGGCGGAGAGAGGTGCGAGGGGGGAAAGTGGGAACCGAATTCGGCTGGCTGAGGAGGTGGGAGACCCAAACTGAGAGTGAGTAAGTAGAGGGATTGGAACTGAGCTTCATGACATGCGGTCGGCGTGGCTGCCGGGTTGAATGTCCAAGTAGCACCTGCTGTGGTGACAGAGAAGGCGTGGGTGAAGGTGTCGTAGGATTGAGGATTTAGGGGTTTGTTATGGTGGTCGCGGATCCAGGAGTTGTTGTGCAGTTGGGTGTGCCAAAGCAAGCTGCATCCGGCCTCTGTGGTTGAGTGCCGTTAACTGCTTTGAAGGAGCCGGGCCGCGGTTTGGAGTGCAGGGGACATGTGGCAGTGACACCGGCCGGTACGATCCCACGTGAAGGTTGCGTCTTTGCGTGCCTAGTGGAGGAAGGCTAAGGTGGCGGCGTTGGCTTCAGGGTTGCGAGCCTAGAGCTGGGCGAGCCGCAACTTGTGTCGTGAATGTGGGTGGTTAGGGCGGACCGTGTCGCAGGGTTGGCCTTGTAGGGCGTTTCGTGAAGAAGTTAGAGGCAGCTGAGCGATGGCATGGGCCCACGTGTCAGGGCTACGGAAGAGGCGTGCAATATGGCTTGTTGTTTGGCAATAGTGGGGAGGTATGGAAGTGCCCATCCGTGTTGGCTACGTGGCCGTTGGAGGTGCGCGCGGGGACGATGGGTAGGGAGTCGCCCGACTTGGTGCACCATGGTACCCCTCCATCAGAAGCGGTAGATGTGTTTCTCGGACTGAACTGTTCAGTAGGGGGAGGGCGCGTTGTAGGAGGCAAGGAAGGCAAATTTGGCCTGAACGATGGTACAGAGGACGATCGCCCTGGTCGGTTCATGGTGGGTCTTTCCACTGGCAGTTTGCATGCGGAGGATGGTTTAGGTATAGCAGGCCTCCCAGTTGGCCTGCACGAAAGAGCCAAGCCCGACTTGGATGTCCAGGTAAAGACACCAGTCGTCTCCGGAGACGAAGGGGATATCATAGGCGGTCAGAGGGATGTGAGAGAGGTTAAGGCAAAGTCGAAAGGACTTCTGTAGTTGGATCTGCACGCCAGGCATGTCGCCGAAGTCATCCAGGAGCTTTAGGACTACCGGAAGGGAGTCTAAGTGTCGGAGAAAGCTAGCTGTGTCATCCACATGGGAATTGCAGATGAGGGAGTATGTGGACTCGCCGTGGCGGAGGAGGATACCGTGTTCCCAAGCCCAGGCTTGCAGAGTGGCGAGGAGGGGTTCCGTGGCGAGGATGAAGAGGGAAGGTGCCAAAGGGCAGCCTTGGCGAATCCCGGAAGTTTGGGGAACGGTGACGGAGCGGGTTCCATTCACAACAAAACGCACATTCGTGGATGCGTGGAGGCGGTCGAGCAGAGAGACGAACTGCGGTGGTAACCCCTTATCAGTCATCGTGCAGAACAGGTGGGCGCGTTGTATGCTGTCATAACGTTAGGCTTTTTTATGTCGAGGCAGACGATAGCCGCAGAGTCATCCATTGGCGAAGTACCATCCGCGTGTTGGAGTGCAAGGGCGCGCTGGAAGATGCCAATGCTGTCGTCGAGGCAATGCACTGAATTGGTGGTGAAGAATCGACAAACAAACTCAATCATCCACATCCAAGTAACGTTTGAGCTCGCACTCGTCGGGTGGCGCTGACGTTTTCGTTGCAAAGGGGGGTTTCACCTCGGCGTCCCTGTTTGGGATGCTCATTGTACTACATGGCGTTCCTAGGAGTTAACGACATATTTGATTGTCGGCGAAGTGACGTTGTGCATATATCGGAGCCGTTCATGAAGTAGATAAACAAAGCGACGTATACCTTTCAACTTTGCGTTCGCATATTTCAGTAACATGGTCAACATGTAGTATATAGGGGTCTTTGTTAAATGTTATGAAATTGCCACACGTGTCCCTAAAGCGGTGCATCCATCGCGAGGCCAGGTGGACCACCACGACGCGAACGGGCATCCACCAACAATCCCTTCATTAATAGCAATTGGAAGAATGTGAGGGATTACAAGACACCTCCCAATTTTGCTCCATGCATGCATAGCCCCGATGCTTGCGCACACCACTTCGCCAGCAACCAAAGATGTCGTTAGCTCCAGTGATTCACTTTGTCGCGATGCCTACGATATAATATGGATACTGCTACATGGCTCGCTTACCTCGTGTACGTAACGTTTGATGTACGTGCACGAGGTAGGCGAGCCACGACATGCAGTAGCGTCTACATTACGCAGTGGCATTGTTGTGTGCACAAGGTGCAAACTCTTTCAGTTACAACGATCACACAGTCATCATGCGTGTAGTACTGAAAGCTGATAGCACTACGTGCATGATATCCTATGGTACAGCTTCGTGCTGCTCGAAGTTCACAGCAGTGTGAATTTGATGTGGCACCTGTGCGAAACATAAGCCATCAATCAAAAATAACGTTACTGCAAAAAGTGTAGACCTTATGTGTGATGGAACCCGTGACCTTCGGCGCACTAAGCTGACGCGCTACCAGGAGTGATGTTATAGTTAATTATGTCAACTATGCCTTGTTTAATATGCCAATCATAAACCACGTACATATAAAGAGTTTTCGGAAGCACTTTTGAGATAAGATTCAAGTTGTGGAACTCATCTCAAAAGTGGAAAAAGTACTGTAAAACTTTGGGCGAAGAATTCAAGATGCGGAAATGAAATATTCACATCATAACTCGAGAAGATCACTACTTTAGCCTTGCACGAGCCTAAGTATGTCGATTGCGTGAAGGAGTGACCCGGCCCGCCGATGTGACTCGCATCATCAGCCCCCTTCTTAAGAATACTTAAGAATGTATAAGAATTCTTCATCATAAGAATTCTTCATCCCAATGTATTTTCAAGAGTGTTTTGCATTTCCTTCCATCGCATCGCACACTGTACCGGTAGTCACCATTATCCGAAGTATGCGTATTCTCTTATCTTAAGATTGAGACACTTTTGAGATAACAAGTCTCCTATCTCAACAGGTCCCGAGATTCGGAAAGTTTTGATTTCCAATTTATAGAAGTTTATAATTTATTACATGAAATTGGAGATATCTTATCTCAAAAGTGGTGCTCCAAAAACTATAATAGCTTTACTGGTATACACTTGTTGGTCATAAACCTTGCATTCTCTATGCACTCAGGGTGTCGATGTCTGCTGGCACACCACTAGATATATCCTCTAACATTCGATTCTAGGATATCGTCGTCTCATTGAATCGCATATGTTCTCTAGTCTGAGTGAGTTCAGTGCAATACCGTAAGGTACGAGAACTGTACACGCATATCCCGCAGGATGGATGTCACTTGCACTAACGTTAATGGTCGACCTTACCTCTTGCTTACTGTACCACTAAGTTGTTATTGGTCGACCTTACCTCTTGCTTACTGTGTACCACTTTCGAACACATATCATCATTTCTTGAGCACTTCCCCGATTAAAACGGTTCCACTGTGGTTTTGACTCGAAATACTGTTTTATTGAGGGAATTATATCATCCGGATACACTTTTACTAGCCCGTACTAGTAGACCTGTAACCTGGGACTCCGTTCTGCCCCCGATGAGTACATATAATGAATGCTAAATCCCCAGGTTAATCTGCATCTCAGTGGTTAGCGATAGCTAACCACTGAGATGCACTTTACCCCTAGTAAGAGGTGAGGTGATCGGAGCTTACTAAATCCCAGGTAGACACGAATATCTGAGAAAAGAAACAGTGGGACATTGCTAATCAGGGAATTGTACACAATTTCTTATTACGATTAGTCGGTATCACTTCTTTACTGTACCACTTGGGTACACATTTCATCATGGCTTATTACGATTAGTCGCAGTTTTGATTACTTTGCAGTAGTACTACACACTATTTTACAGGTTTCTGCGTCTGACAAAATATACCGTAAAAGGCATGAACTTAAAGGACAATGATGCAGTTGTAACCAATACATAAACATATCTTTAGTTAAATAACCTAAGGAATTGCCATTTTGATTTCTGACCTGTTCGGTGCACACGATGGAAGACACGCATGTACGACGCCGCAAGACGCGGACGAGGATGCCCAACTTTCGGGAGATCAAGCTCATTCGAGACAGAGAGTCCAAGAGAATCATAAGACAGCAATATATTGCCGACTGCAGGGCACTCAAGGACGAACTGGCCGAGTTGACAGGTCGGTTACGTGCTCTCCAGAACGCACGAACGTCAGTGTCGTCGCTGCCGTGGCATGAAGTAGCCACGTCCATGAGTGAGGCCATGGAAGAAAGCCTATCGGAATCCAAACGCCTTCAGCTGCATGTGGCGCGTGCTAAGCTCGTGAGCGCTCGTTTGGTGCAGTGGATACAGTCCTCAGTGGCGCCCGACCTGGTCGAATGTGAGAAAGCGCCAACGACATTCGAAAGTGTGACCTCCCTTGGAAGCAATCCGCATAACCGCAAGACAAACTCGTGTGAACCATTGGATTGCAACGGCATACCAAGAAAATGTACTGGACGAGCCACCACCACATGCGCCGGTTCTCCAACTTAGCGGAGGACAGCATGCATGTCCACGTGTCCACGCGGTGCAGCTTTGTGATCATTCAAACGTCGATCGAAGCGGATATGCCAAGGGTAGCGTATGCACTGTTTCAAGCCACGCTGGGATTGAAGGCGCTTACCAAGGTACATATAGTTGTGCTTTCCGCCAAAATTTGGATATTTGCGCTGATTCACCAAATCCGTTGGTCGATTGTTGTAGGGAATTTTGTATGTAAAAATTGTCAGGCGTGCATTAGTTCGATGGTTGCAGGAGTTTGATAAGTCACTTGAAAGTGTTTTGGCTTAGATTGGTCAGTCGATTGTCTTTTGTCGATTTGGTTCTGCTCATTCGATTGAGCCACCGCACTCCATGTTTGAATCGACCTCACTATACTAGTAGTAATACTACTAGTAGGACCTCACCTACTAACGTGGATGCACATAGCTTAGACGTTGGCTCGCGTATGCGCATACGGCAAAGTCGTGTGATACTTTCAAAAGAGGGTTGGAAGTTCGTACAGACCTGCTTGCACCAGGCTTCCAAAATAATATATTTATTTCGTTATCTAAAATGACACCTCAGCCAATAGATTTCACGATATTCGAGGGGCTACCGTATTTGTCGTACCTTTGCCTATGTACTTCAATTTGAAGAATACAGTATACCATTTGTATTCCATTGAATTTTATAAATATATTCACGTTTTATATTTCATTGTGCAGATCAACGAAAAATACCATAGATCATAAATTATTGTTTGCTACATGCAATACTATATCTATAATTGTCAATTAAATTTGTTTATAGTAAGAACAACGTACACCATTCACCGTAATTAGTACGGATTAAGAATTAGTGTGATCCTCAGTACATGTATGATGTTATTCCATAAATTTGTGGTTGGTAATTAGTACGGACCAATTTCGTGCAATACTAGGTGTTTGGGGTGTATGCCACGATGCTCAATTGCTCTGGTAGTTATAGAAAGCCATCAAATGTGGTCATGACATATCCCCCATACAAAAATCAAGGTAATAATCCTTACTAATTCTCAATATTCATAATTGGTGCGGTCTGCACTAATTCTCCAAGTCCATAATTTGTGAGGATTGAGATATAGTAGTGCGATCCGCACTAATACACGTGCCGTAGGTCTTGTGACGAGGTTAATATTAGTGCGGTCTGCACTAATTATGGTCTACGGTGTAGCAATTGTATCTCGTGTTGTTCTATAGTCTAGCCGAAAACGTGGGTGCATGGAATTAGCACCTGACGAAGCAGCACGTTGATTTACTTGATTTGGATCTATTAATACTAGTAACAGTAATTAATCGAAATAGATGCAACATCGCTTGAAATATACAGCATTGCACATACACCAGGACGGTCAACGAGTTTTCACCTGATGTATGTGACGGATTTAAAAAATCTAAAATTGACCTAGTTTTGACTAATTTGACGTCCGGATACCAAAAGGTATATAAGTACTAGTACTTCATTCCGGACCAGAAGAAGTATTAATAATATTACGTGTATTCATACTCGGAGTACTTACTAAGGTTACAATTATTGTGATGTCGCCAAACGAAAAACACCAACATAAAGTATTTTCACTTCGCCTAGCTCCTTCGTCGTTGTTTGGCTTTCATATGAACTTCCACGATGCGCTGGAGGTCGTCAAATATGTTGCGGGTACATCCACCGTCCGCCTCAAGGACCACCTCGACGGCGTGGACGCTGTCCGGATGGTCGCGCAGCAGCCACGTGAGGGCATGGGGGCTGTCGTTGTGCAGGAATTCGTCGTATATTTCGGTGCCTCGTCGTTGCCGTCGCAGTTTTGCGGGCGGCAACTGGAACGCCGCGCCTTTGGTTGCAAAGTTCTGGATCGATTTGAACCCTTCGACGGCTTGCCAAAAGCAAATGTCTTTCGACTTTTGGCCGGGTCGAACTATCGTGTGTTGTGTTGGCAGAGAGGTGGAAGGTGGCTGAACATGCTGCTGCTGTGCTACCGATGAGCCCGCGACCACCCCTGGTACACTCGTCGTGGTGTGAATGTGGTTGGCGCTACCATAAATCGACAAGTCTTTCGACGGACCGCTGGGACCGATGGTGGGGTAGGTATTGGGATACACGGCGGAGTACGCTTGCTGCACTGCATCGGACATGGGTTTCTCAGCAAAGGCGAGCCACACTTCATTGCGCTGATCGGAGTTGAGCCGGCTTCCTTGCAGCACCTCCCCTCCCTGACATTCATACCCGTGTCAACAGCGTAATTAGATGCGATGTGCCAACCAACCTGAGCAAAGGGCAATGTCGGCATCGATTGGGTGTGATGTTGTCGCTCCAATCTGGTGCCAACCAGCCCCATGTGATCTGGGGCTTCTGCTGCATTGTCGCGCCCTTTTGGTTCAAACGCTTTATGGAACGGCCGCTCATCCAATGTGGTGACGTGCAGTTTGGCGGGTTGTCCGTAGGGATGACTGGTCTTGGGGGGGTTGTCGGGAAGTGGGGGGTCGTTGAACAGCTGCAGCTCGATGTGCGCAATGCGGCGGCCCCAGTCGTCGTCTTCGGCCACCGAATTCAGCTGGTTATCTGGCAAGTGGAGGTCGCTGGGAAGGTCGAGTTGTTTAGGGGGGAGGATGTAGCGCGGCGGGACCGTCTTCGTGAGACGAGGAATGGACTGCGACGATCGGAGAAGCAACGCCGACGACTTCCCAGCGAGGGTTAACGTGTCGCCGCTGATAGACGGAAGCAGGGGGCTTGTCGTGCGTTTCGGGTACTTGTGTTTGGGTTTGGCTCGACGAAGCCGGAATGAGTCATCCCGCTGGAGAATGTCGTCCATGGATCGGAGAGGCACGGCGGTAGAGTTGGGGGGCGCGACGTACACCAGTCGGGACGAATGTACTGGCTTCGACGTGGGATCGTGAGTCAAGTATTGCCGCCGCAGCGTTTGCGAGAACGTTGTAAAGTTGCTTAGCAATACGTCGACGTCGTCGAACGCGGCATCGTCCGTCTCGTCTACCGATGGTGGGGACAGTGAAGGGGGTTGGGGGGATGCAGGTGGGTCATCTAGAGGTGTGGGGGTGTTGTCGGCATTGCCAGGTATGATCGATGGAACCTCGCAGTCGATGCAACTCGACACTTGGGGGGACTCGTCTGGCGGCGTATGCGACACTGCGTCACCATCTACGAGCGGACCTTCGATGCCTTGTTCGGTTCTTGACGTGATCATGTTACGTCGGGTGCGCGACGATGGCAGCGGGGAGGCTTTCAGTGCCGCAGCAGCATTGAGTTCCAGCAATGGCAGCAGCTGGGGCCCCTCGGCATCGTTTGTTTCGATGGAAGTAGAGCAACTCATGCGACGGCGTTGGCGCTGGTCGTCTCTATCCGGTGTCGCTTCCACCGTCGAGTGTCGATGGCGGACGGGGCTTCGGGACGAGCCCGTGCGCTGCATCGGCGGCACACCTTCACCGCCTCGAAGCGGACTCGTTCGCTTTTTTTCGGCCGTCACATGTTTGTCATGTGTCATATGTTTGTGCATAAACGTCATGTCAGCGGCGGGGACGGATCCTGTCATTCCGTCCGCTTTCCACAGCGATATGGGCCCTCCTCGAGCCGACTGGGGGACGCGGGAGCTTCCAGGGAGCGCCTATGTACAGAATGTTGTTTTGAATACGTTTAAATATACGATGAAGTCCATGCAGATTCGTAGATCGTACAACGATGGATGCGTCCTCGGTGTCAGCCGCGACGGTGAAATTTGCAAATTCAAACCGCGACCCCCAGATTCGCCGCCGACTCTTGTCATGAAGGTCGTCTAGCTCCAATGACGACATGTCTAGGTCGTCCAAACGGTCGTTTGGAGAGCTATTGTTTGGGGGCTACAACAACAACACGATGAAATCACCTGCCACGGGTATATCTGTACACGAACGTCGTCACTTCCTCGTGTTAGCAGGACCCGTCGAAGCGTTTCCCGGGTCTTGTTGACTGGCATCTTTCCGTTGTCGTCATGGCTGATAGGGGGGGCACCGCCGACGGATGGTACAATGAGCGTTCCGCGGCGACGAGTAGCATCGAGCCGCGTCACGTCGTCGACGGTCGCCCGTTGGTGTTTTGGATGCCGGACAACACTCCGTCTGCCTCCGTCCTCCATCACGGACGACGGGGGTGGGTCCACTTGGCCTACCCGAAAACTATATAAGCAACCTCAATGGGATCTATGCCGTTCATTCCACCATCAACAACCTACCTGTGACGGGGTTGATTTCGACAAACGACGCTTGGGACTGGACATCCGCTCGCCGTTGGGCGTCGGCTTCGTTGGCCACCATCTGTCGCTCGGCGTCAAAAAGAAGCGTGATGCTGCGGCGGTAAGCTTGTACGAGCGCGGACGGGACTTCTGTGGCGGCCTTGTCGGCGTCGAGCGTGTGCTGCAGCCCCGCGCGGACGACGCTGTCCGAGGAGAACGCGACCTTTGTCAGGGCCCCCTGGTCGAGGGGGGGCGGGGATTCTTCGGGGGTCGAATCCGCAGGAGACCCCGACGACCGCACAAACCACTTGTGCTGTTTGAGGTCCAATAAGGCGCTGGAGCTGCGGCGCATCTGCGTGAGCACCTGGTGCTGCACCAGCAGTCGTTTCGCAGTCGTGCGGAAACTCTTGCGCATCGACCGCTCCAAGTTGGCCTGGGCGGGCTGTTCCAGCGATTCCTGGTCTAAGTCTTTGTACCGGCTCTAACAAAACACGTGTATTCCGATATCGCATATGGGGGGGGTATATATGAAAGGGGATGCTACCTCAAGCTTGGAACGCGTGTGCATCAGCCGATCGTAGGTGTGCTGCTGCAAATGCAGGAGACTGCTGAGGGTGGCGTACTCGTCCTGGGTGTATGTGCGCTGTTCGTCGATGGGACCAGAGTACAGCTTGAGCACTGTGTCAAGTTGCTCCAATTTGGCTTGGTGTTTTTGCAGCTTCTTCTCGGCCGCTTGAAGTGCCACCTTGTGCTCGTCCACTGCCAGCCGCGTCGTCACCTACAAACCCATGTATGAATATATATTTAGTTGTAAATGTTAGAATACTATATATAGATAATATATATTTTTACCAATTGCGAATACATGTGATTGGCGTCGTCGCCAGTGTACAAGTCGAGCAGCGTCGTGTACTGGTCTTGGTGGGTCTGTAGTTCAACCCGCGAGGCGTCGACAAGTGTCTGGACAGTCGCAATGCACGTCTGCTGGTGCGCAATCATCTCGTCCAACTTGACGAGCACGTCAGTTTCACTCGGGAGGTCGTTGTGCAGGGCCTTGATCACGTCGGCTTCGGCGGGGGAGGACGCCGGCGGGGGCTGCGGGTGCGCGAGTTTCACGGCAATGCGCAGCTCCGTCCACGCGCGATGGTGCTGTACCTGGAGGATCTCCTATGCATACAGTAGTTTTGGTTACAAGTCAATCGTGCTTCCACACAACAAACTACTACACACACCACCTAACCACTACACGAAGTAGAATAAAAGCACCCAAATGAACTTACTAGTATTACGTAGTACTACTAGCTAACTACTACTAGTATTAATACTTCATAGTACTATAGCACGACGGACGAACTACTGTACTCATTACGACTACGTAGTACTAGTATACTAGTCCAATGACAAAACCAACTACTACGACATATTAACCATAGAATCGGACGTACTTCGTCGATGGAGCCGTACACTTTCTTGGACTCGTAGTCGACGACACCAGCAGAGTTCTTGTGCTTCTTGGTCCCACGTCGCTCGAGCTGCAGAAGCTGGTTCTCGGTGGCTCTAACCATCGCATCAAGCGCTTTGACTTCATCCTCCACCGGTTTCAACTGCATCGATGGCTTGGCCATCAAATGCTGGACAAAATCAGTCGCGAGGTGGGACTCCAACGCGCCGGTCGTGTCTTTGCCAAAGTAGTGCGTCGCGTGGAACGACGAGGGGAGCTCGTCTGACAGTTCCGGCACCAGGTCGACCGACACCGGGATGCCGCCACCCCCCACCCAGTCCAATCGGCACTCGTCCGGACACACGCTGCGGTCCCGCACCAGCATCGCCCGCGTGGTCTGCAGATTCGACGACACCACGAGCCCTACGCGGACTTGCACGGCCTGCACGCGCTTCCGATTGAGCAGTTTGTTGGCCATCACGTACAGAAACGGCGCCGGTCGCGAGGTGGTTTCGTCGCGACCGAAGGTGGGGGAGGGCGAGTCTCGAGGTACAAAGCTGTGCCATCCCCCCAGGCATGCACGCCCCAGATGTCGCCCCCCCGTCTGTACTTGCACCAGCATGAGCGCCAGGGCATGCCACATGGGCGTGGTGTTGGCGTCTTGCAAGCGGATGTTGGCCGGACGGTTGCTCGCGTTGAATCCATAGCTACACACGAAATTATGTCCTAGTACGCTATCCAGTACTGTACGCTCTACTGGTAAAATCGATATATCCGTCTCGTCAAATGTGATATATCAAATGTGATATATACCACTCTCGTCAAATTTATATATGATATTGATCGTATATATCACTCTCTCATGAAGAATGATATATCACTCTCAATCTCGTCCAATACACAAGAATGACAATATCACTCTCACTCTTGCCCCATACACAATAGTAATGTGCAATGCTACCTACGATTACAAAGATAACGACACTATTGAATTTTAACTCGTAAGGGGATGGTATAATGTATCTATATAGTCACATAACGTATACTAGTAGGTAGTAGTCGTACCCATTAGTTTGAATGTAATGCCGCATGTGCAGGTCGGACGTAGCCAGAAGTGCGCTTTGGCCGACGTGGTTGATGGCAAAAGCCGACGCGCCGTGACTGAGCAGCGACCCCAACACTTCGCGCTGGTGGAACCACCCGAGGTGCTTGTCGCTGCGGCCGACGGCAACATGCAGCGCCGTGTTGCCGTACACCGGCTCTCGGCCGTACACGAGCAGCGGATCGTGCTGCATCATGGCTTCCATGGCGGCTACATGGCCATCCCTTACGGCCAAGTGGAACGAGTACAACGAGTACGGCTCCACTTCCACCTGCCCATACCACCATCGTATCCATCAGTGTACACCTCCTAGTACTACTACTAGGACATCTACTACTACTACTAGTCATCGTTGGCAGACTAACCCACCCGATGGTCGCGACGGTACATGTACGGCAACGCCTTTTCAAGGGCGTCGAGGATGGCGTCGGGGTCTGGGGTCAGGACGAGCTGTCCGGACAGGGGGGGAGAACTGGTGCGCGGCACGACGGTGCTGCGGAGGGCGAGGAACGTGGTGCGGACCAACGCCCGATCGTACAGTGACGTCGCCGTGCACCAGAACTTGCTAAAGTTCTTGCGCTGCATCAGCGTTGCTTTCCACCGTTGAAACACGTGGTGTTTGGTGCGCTGGGACGCGACGTCGGCCCAGTAAAACAGCACCTGGCACATCTTGGGGTACACTTGGGGCTGGAGGAGCTTGGAGAGCCGGTCTAACTCGATCATGTCGTGCCTCGCTACCACTTCTTTCCTATACATCGCCAAATCCCTTGAGAGGTAAATTATTGTGCGGATAGGGGGGTACCAAGCATCCCACGACCGCGCCGCCTGCCGCTGCTTGGCTTTGATTGCCACGCGGCGCTTTTGCGGCCGGCAGTGCTGTTTTTGCAGAACGTAGAACCTCCATGCGTGAAACACGTGCTTGAGCCGGCCGCGAGTGTCCAAGTTGGCCACTGTGTCGCGGTGCCAGCTCTCAAACAACTCGGCGACCATCCGCCGTTGATAGTGCAATTTGGCCTTGATGGTAGCAACCTTCTTGGCATGGCGTTGTTGCCAAAACCGCACCAACAGGTGAAAGTACCGTCGCATCCACGCCAACGGCCCTAACGAGATGTGAATCGTGTTCGTTATTACATACGATAAGGTAGTACGTACCCTTGGCTTGCGCTTCGAGGATGCGAATCTGCTCGTCGCGGTACGCCTTGATCCACTGGTCCCATTGCGTCAGGGGGGTTGTGAACACGGGCACTTCGAGACACCGCCGCTTGTGCCGCTTGAACACAGTATACCGGTACCACATTTGGTATGCGACCAGCACGCGCTCCCCGACCCACGCCGGCCGCTTCATAAACGCCATCCGAAATGCCCGACGGAGACACATTTCCGCGTTGATCACGACGCGGGAGTGCTCTTGGTGGACCGCTTTCCACTGGAGGAACGTGGTCTGGACAAACTTGCGCGCCACGGCCGTCCGCGCCTTCTCCATTTCCACGCGGAGCTCGTAGATCCGATTGCATGTGCGGCGGCCCCCCGATCGGTCCTCGACGTCGGCGAACGCGTGGTCCACGAACATCACGGTATGGGTAGATGCTGTCCGCGCGCGCCGCTCCAGCGACTGCGGTCCGTCCAGCCACTCGCGCGAGTTGGTCACAAAAAGGTTTTTCACGATGGTTGGTAGTTTGTACAACGTGGACGAGTGTTGTAGCAATTTGAGTTCGATGAGCCGGAGCTACGACACATGTAGATATAATGTTGTATTGTGACGGGAAAGAACGGGAAGTTGGTACCTTGATGTTGCACTCGACCTCTTCGGCCCATTCCGCGAACGCCTGCCGACACAGTCGAAGCCGTACAATTTTGTCAATAGAGTGAACCATAGCCCACATATGAAACACTCGCCGCTTTTTCTTGAGCTTGGTGGCCCGCCACCGACAAAACACGACCCGGAACCGATGCATACGCCACACGGTTTGGATGCGAAGGGCCCCTTCCGTCGCGCGCACCTGCCGAGTTGGTCAAGACACTAACAACAGCGCGAAGGGGGGAGGGGGGTCTTACTTGGTAGCGGTATTTGTCGAGAAAGTGATCGCGTTCGCGTTGGTCGGCGTAGCTGTCGTCGTTCACAGGCACGGCTCCCACTTGACGGTACAGCTCACGCAAGCTTTTGGACAAAATGCGTTGGGTTGTGACTTGCTTTCGGGGAAAGTGGCCGAGGAGGTTGCCAAATGAAGATGGTGAACCACTGGTACTGCTCGTGAGGGCCGACAGCTGCTGCTGCCGCTGGGTCGAAAAGGGGGCAAAATTGAAGTCACTCGGAGCGCTGCTGTCGAGTGTGTACTCGACCGTGGACGCACTCGACGTGATATCTCGCTGCTCCAGAAGCGCCAGCTTGGCTTCGATAGCGGCGACTTCAGCAGTCATGGCTTGCATCGTCCGTGCTGTGTCAAGTGCGGTAACTTGCTGGATTGTGTGATTTGGGGTCGACGAAGGCAATGTGGACAGTCCCCCGCGGGCAGGAGACGGCTGGGGGGTGACGTTGCCGTCCGCGTTATCCGGTTTGCGTCGGCGTGGCAGCAGTGCGCGTTGAAGGTCGAGGGCCTCGTGGACTTTGCGGGCGGCGCGGTCCCGCGCTAGGGCTTCGATGGTCGATTGGTCGGCTTGCATCATGTCCTGAATGGCAGTGGGAGGGTACCAGCCCATGATGCGCTGCACTTGGGACCGCGTGCGCTTTTGCTTGCCGCGCTTTTTCATGGCCGTGTCGATGGGCGGAGGGAGTTTGAAGATGACGGTCTGGACGAGGTTGGGCTGGGGCTGCACGGGAGCATGCTGTTTGTGGTGGCTGTCCCGCGTAGTTATGCTGTCATCGCCACTGTCGGACCCAACGGACGACGCCGCAGCCACCACCACCTTGTCGTCGTCCGACATTTCGGTTACCCAATGAAACCACACATGTGCAACGGTTACATTTGGATGAGTTGCCACAATATACTGGCAACGTTAACGTAGAATGCCAATTGTTGCAGTACAACTTTATTGGGTTTTTGGAGAAGGGCCATAATTCCTGATTGAGGCATCGTTTTTGAATCCTGAAAAGTCCTACTTCGAAGTAATTTGTAAGGTAAACCATCAATATCACGAACGCTTTTTGTGCACTAAAATGTCAAATGTTTGAAGCACTGCTAGAAAAAAACCCAACTGTATCTCAGGAATGGCCTAGTCCTTTGAACACTCTTTTTCTTAGAAGGCATATTCATCTTATTTATCTCCACCACAACTATAAGGGTAATGTTGGAAAATATAAATCCAGTTGCATTTTTTAGTGCCAAGAAATGCCTGAAATATCCCAATAATCTATTTGTATTTTGAAATTATAAGGCCCTGGTCGGGGAACGTTGACTCCACGCCTGTCGACGCTTTTTGTATGTGAAGAGTGGGATAAATATTTGGTGCTCGTTTTTCATTGGCCCATATTCGGATGACGAACATTTGGTAGGCACGCCAGCATAAGCGTCGACGGTACAGTAATGTTGTGGCGTCGACGAACTATCGACGCCAGAACACAACTGTCGACGCTTTGTTGATGTCCACTGCAAGTTCAACCATGGACGGCGTCGATGCTTTGCCTGTTGCTCCGAAGAGGAAGCAGGACGACTCAGTGGTGGCTCGACCACCAAAACAGCGGAAGGGTGGTGCCCACGACACGGGCAAGAAGAAGTCTGCGTCGTGGTGCGAGGAAAGCGTGGCACGACTCTTCTTTCTTCGCTACAAAACCGAACTCGCCAATCGGTTCGACTCCAAGAACAACAACCAGAAGAAGGAGGCGTACGAAATGCTGGCCTCGGAACTCAGCATCGATGTCAATCGGGTCTATTCTGCCAAGCAGGTGAAAGGCAAGG